AAAAAAATTTTGAAATCGTAAATGATTTGAAATTCAGTTTTTTTACTCTTCCTGTACATTTTTTTCATCGACATTAAGAAAGTTGATCAAATGATTTTAAATTATTTATCTTGAAACCAATTAAATTAGATTTCTTTGTTTCGATGTTCCCTGTAAATGAAAAGAAAATAAAAAATTTTACTGATTTAGTCTAATTAGAAATTAAAATATGACGAGGTTAAATACGTAATTTACTTTGAAAGTCTATCAAATCCTCCAAGATTCGGTGATTTTGATGTTGAAAATTTTTTAAGCAAAAATAGGATTTGAAATTTGATAAGATTTCAAATGATTCAAAATCATGTGTTGCCAAACAGTGCAATTTATTTGAAATTCGTGATTTTGAATTCTCCCAAAATCTGAGCTACCAAACAGAATCTAAGGTTGATTTTCCATTTTGTTTGTTGTGTATTTAATTTTGCTCGTATATATTTCAATATTTGAAATATCGCTGAGATGTTTATGTTTATTTTTACTTTTATATTTTTTTCTTTATTTTTATATATATATTTTAATATTTGGATCCAGAGTTGCTTAAAAAAACTGAATCAAACATATTTGCAAGTTTTTTTTTTCAGTTTAGTTTTTAAAATAAAGGTGATATTTTTGTGAAAGAGATTTTTGATCCCTAAATTAGGTTTTTTTTTTCCAGTTTAGGTTTTAAAATAAAGGTGGTATTTTTGGGAAAAGGATTTTTGATTCCTAAATTTTTAAAATTATTATTTGAAATATATTTATATTTTCTATTGTTGAAATTACTAATTTATATTAAAATATAATATTATTAATAATATAATATTCTACAAAATATTAAGGACATAATAGTAAAATGTTATATCTTCTTTTCATTTCTCGTGAACATCCAAATAATAAATAAATCATTTTCGTTTCAAACGCAATCAAGAATTTGAAATCATTTCAATCATTTAAAATCCTGTAGTTTGAAATCATTTCCTACCAATTTCAGAGGTGAAACGGAACAAGAGAAGTTATTAATATCTCATCTCAATTAGTTAGATTATAGTGTGACGTGATACATTCTTGTAATGTGATAATTAGATTTTTTTAGTACAACAAATGTAGTGTACGAGAATTTAAATTTTCAACTTGAAAGAAAAGAACAGATATCATTGAGCGTGAGTTATACTCATTATAATTTAATAATTAGTTAAGTATTATTAAAATTAAGACTTAGGCCTTATCGAGCATGTAAGTTTATAAAATGTAGTATTTAGGTGTCGTTTGATAATTGTATTTCAGTTTATATTAATACATTGATGATATTTGACTTATTGGGTTGTATCCAAATTAGTATTTATCCCATCTATCTATGAATAATTGAATTTGAGACTAACCCAAGATACTTAAAAAATTATTTAGACTAAAAGTTACATCCATTTATTAAACTGATTTTGATCTTCTAAAGTTTTAATTTTACTTTTAAGCAATCAAATTCTTTTTTAGGCAAGTCCCTAATCAACAACCCGGTTGAAATTTGATAACTATTTTATGATTTCACATTCAAAAAATATTATTTTTTTTATGAGTTTGCATTTTTCACATTAACCTACTAAAAAATTATTAAAAAATTATCTATACCTGATTAATAATTATTATTAGAAGCCAATTATTAGAAGCCAGCTTAAACTAATTAAATGAAAGGTACTTCTACCCGTTTAAAAGGTTGTAATTCGAATCTTAACTTTAAATTTCAAATATAATATTATTCTAAAATGTATTACTGTAAAAAGTAAAAATAAAATAAAAAATAGTGTTCGCATACGTTTGAAGAGCTCCTAATTTTTTAGAGATGTTAAACTAAAAAAAATCAAAATACTATTTTAGTCTATGTACTTTTAGCTTTGATTTATTTTAATCCATGTATTATAAAATTGTTCATTTTGTATCGAAACACGAAGATGAACAATAAAAAGGAAGCAAGATAAATGTTTACGAATGAAGGATTTGATTCATGAAATGAGAAATTACTACAAGTATTTATAAGAACAATGTAAAACCATTCACCTTAAACTTCTCTCACTAACACCGTTATGCTACTAACCTTGAATTTCTCTCCCATCAACACCACCATGCCACTATGCCACTATGCCCGACAATTTCTCCTCAAGTTTACATCCAGTTCCTATGAAATTAACTACCAACTAACATGATAATTACACATAAAATTTGCACTAATTTTTAACACTCCCCCTTAGTGCAAATGTTAGGTCAACAACACCAAATGAACTTCTGAGTTCTTCAAACTTGGGTATGCCAAGAGCCTTAGTAAATATGTCCGCAACTTGCTCTTTCGAATGTATCTTCTGCAGTTGAATATCTTGTATCAGAACTTTCTCTCGAACAAAGTGAAAATGTGTTTCAATATGCTTTGTACGAGCATGAAACACGGGATTCCCTACAAGCTTGATTGCACTTTCATTGTCACAAAAAGTGGACACTGGATAGTCCAAAATAAAGAATATTTCTCCCATAAGTCTTTTCAGCCAAATACACTCTTGAGTAGCCATAGTAGTGGATACATATTCTGCTTCACAACTTGAAAGAGCAACAGAGGTTTGCTTTTTACTGCACCATGATATATTCCCTGAACCTGTATTAAAACAGTACCCGGTTCTGGAACGTCTGTCATTAACATCACCGGCCCAATCTGCATCAACAAAACCACTCAACACAAAAGATGTAGCTTGTTTATACAACAAGTCAAAACTCAAAGTGCTCTTCACATATCGAAGAATCCTCTTTGCTGCAATTAAATGAGCATCACATGATTTCTCCATAAATTGACACCTACAGAGTAAGAGATGTCAGACTTTGTGATATTCAAATAAATTAAACTACCAACAAATTACCGAAAAGTTGTTGATCTGCCAATAGTTTTCCTTCTTCCTTAATCAAATTCAACGATGACTCCATAGGAGTAGTCATTGGCTTTGACTCTTTCATACCAAAGCGATTTAATAAACTTATTGCATATCTTTTCTGTGAGATGAAATATCCGCCTGACCTTTCAACCTCCAAACCAAGGAAACACTTAGCTTCGCCCAAACTCTTCATTTCAAAACGAATAGATAAAGCATCTTGAAGACTGTTAATTTCAACACCATCACACTAGTTATAATCATATCATCAACATAAAGTAGAAGCATTGTACATATCGAGGTTGTCTTCTTAACAAACAGACTTGAATCTGCATTTGAAGACTTGAACCTACAAAACTCAAGATATTGAGCAATCTTACCATACCAAACACGTGGAGCTTGCTTGAGGCCATACAAAGCCTTCCTGAGTCGACACACATAATTTGGAAACTCTTTAGAAACAAAACCACAAGGTTGCTCCATAAAAATATCTCGATCCAACTCTCGATAAAGGAAAGCATTTTTCACATCTAATTGCCATAATTTCCAATCCTTGCAAGCAGCTAATTAAATAATAGTTCGGATGGTTACCATTTTAGCAACAGGACTGAATGTCTCCTCGTAGTCTAGACCATATTGTTGTGAAAAGCCCCGAGCAACCAGATGAGCTTTATATCGATCAATAGTACCATTAGGCGTTTTCTTCAACTTGTAAACTCATTTACAAGTAACTAATTCTATATTCTTTGGCGTTAGAACAAGTTCCCATGTGTCGTTCTTATTTAGAGCCAAAATTTCATCCTGCATTGCCTCTTCCCATTCAAGAAAACCTTTGGCTTCATTGTAAGATTGAGGTTCTTCTTCACAAACATCGCCTATTAAAAAACAAGATACAAATGAACGATTATTTAACTGTACCTCGTAATCAGATAAATAACTGGGTCGAGTTCTTTCTCTAGAAGACTTTCGAACTGCACTTTCTGTAGCTTCATCTGTTCTAATATTCTCTCCAGAATTATTATTAAAATCATTCTCATTTGACGCATCATCACTAAAGAATGATGATATAGCAGCACTACTTTTCTTTGTACACGCGTCCAGTTGATGTGATGAAACCTCTTCAAACACCACATCTCGAGAAACAACAATTTCTCTTGTATTTGGATCCATACATCTCCATCATTTCCTGTGAGTATCATATCCAACAAAAATACAATATTTTGCCTTTCGGTTAAGTTTAGTATGCTTACTCTTTGAAACATGAACATAACAAATTTACCCAAAAACTCGAAGATAACTCACATTGGGTTTGCGATGATATAGTACCTCAAATGGAGATTGATCTGACCCCGACCATGGAGGTAGGCGATTTATGACATGACAAGCTGTCTGAATAGCTGCTACCCAAAGCTCTCTTGGAAGGTTTTTTACATGCAGCCAAGACAAGCACATAGATGTGAGATGTGTCAATTTACGTTCAGCAACCCCATTCTGTTGTGGAGTGTCAGGACACGTCATTTGGCGCTAAATTCCATACTCCTTGCAATACTTTTGAAATTCATCGGACATATATTCTCTCCCATTATCAGTGCGCAAATTCTTTATTGACAGCATAAATTCCTTCTCCACCTGCTCCTAAATTGAATAAATTTGGAGAAAGCCTCACTTTTAGCCTCCAAGAAATACACCCCAAGTGAACCGAGAAAAATCGTCCATAATAACCATTACATAACAACAACTAAAATAACTTGGTATTCTAGTTGGCCCCATCAAGTCTGAATGAACTAACTGCAATGCAACAGTAGCTCTATTGTCTGAATTTGGGAAAGGGAGACGATGTGATTTTCCAAATTGACAACCAGGACAAACCACATCAAGGTGAATTTCTTTAAGTAGAGGAATACCGCCCAAAAGCTTCTTTGTCGACATTCGCTGTAACTGTTGATAACCAACATGACCTAACCGAGCATGCCAAAATGTTGCACTATCATTCTAACTTGTCTTTTCAACAAATGCATCACTTGCAGATAAAACATAAAAGGAATCTTTCCTCTTTCCCGTTAACAAAATATTAGCTAAAAATTACTTAATATTAGAAACAATTTTCACACCATCTGGACTAAAAAGAACGTACCTCCCAGAGTCGGTAATCTGAGAGACCGAAACCAGATTCTTCTTCAAGCCTGGAACATGATAAACATCTTCAAGAGAAATACCACCAATATTTGGAGCATCATTCTCAACATTAACACGTCCTTCTTCAACAACGGGATGTAAGGAATTATCGGCCGTCGCAATGACTCTTCTTCCATGATGTGTACGTACCTCAGAGAGAAGAGAATTTCCAGTAGCATGATGAGAACAACCAGAGTCAATAATCTAATCCTAATTATAATCTATAGAAGCATTGACATTCATATTAATAGGTTGGTCAACAACTTCAATCGACAAACATTGATCCCAAGTAGGTTGTTTAGGTTTGTTACTCTCCCGTACAACATTTGCTTCCGCTTCTTTGAGATTTACCTGACAATTTGGTCTAATATGACCTGGCCTCCCACAACGATGACACACCACCTTCGCCCGACAATCACGTTTGATGTATCCCGACTTGCCGCACCTAAAACATCTATTTGTATTACCATTGGACTGCCCTTCAGTCTTGGAGTGTTTGCTGTCATCTGAAGAATGCTTGGAATAAGAATTATATTTTCCTTTGTCTTTTGCATAAAGAACATCTTCCACATGTGCAGTTTGCTTGTTGTTGTCAAGCATTTACTTCACCAAGTCTTCTTGATTTGAAAGCAAGTTTTCCAACTCAATGATAGAAGGTTGATTTACCCAACCTTGTATCGAAGAAATAAATGGCATAAACTCCTTTCGCAGTCCATGAATGAGATAACGACGCAAATGAGCATCACTAATGGGCTCCTCCTCATCCAGTTCTAAAATTTCAGAACACAAAAATTTAATTTTCAGAAAGTACTCTAAAACCGACAAATTACCTTGAGTTGTTCCAGCAAGTTCATTCTCCAAATACAAAAATCTCGTCATGTTCTTTGAGTGAACAACCTTTCAAGTGTATCTCACACTTTTTTTGGAGACTTTTCATCACGAACATGCTCGATATACTCCTTGTCAATATAAGTTCGCAAAGCAAATAACGCTTTGCCACACTTTGATCTTCCACTTCCTTCGCATCATCACTAGAAACAAGATCCCACAAAACTTGACCTTGTAGAAAAGGTTCCATACATAGCCTCCAATAGCTATAGTTGTCACTGGTAAGCTTGTCTACACAAATATTGCTTCCACCATTCATCTTCAACGAGTATTAAACTCAAACAATGAGCACTAAAATCAAACACAAACACGAAATAAAGAACCTCGCTTTGATATCATTTAACGAAACACGAAGATGAACAATAGAAATGAAGCAAGATAAATATTTACGAATGAATGATTTGATTCATGAAATGAGAAATTGCTACAAGTATTTATAGGAACAATGTAAAACTAACCACTATACCACAAACCTTAAACTTCTCTCCCACTAACACCATTATGCCACTAACCTTGAATTTCTCTCCCGTCAACACCACCATGCCACTATGCCCAACAATTTCTCCTCAAGTTTACATCAACTTTCTATGAAATTAACTACCCACTAACATGATAATTACACATAAAATTTGCACTAATTTTTAATGCATCTTGGTCTCTATACTTTTAACTTTAGTTCATTTTAGTCTTTGTATATTTTGAAAATTTTTATTTTGGTCTGTGTACTTTAAAAAATGATAATTCTAGTCTCTGTTTTCAAAATTTTAACACAAATTTTACACATGATGGAAACTCTTTATTCTGAAGTAATGTTTACATTTTTAAAAAATCATGTTGATTATAATGTTGTGTTGAAACTGTGATAAAGAAAATGAGATTAACAATAAAATAAAGGACCAAAATGGTAACTTTTTAAAAGTATATGGACCAAAATGAACATTTTCAAAGTACAGAAAATAAAATGAAGCAAAGTTAAAAGTAGAGGGATCAACATGAACCAAAATAAAAAGTACAGAGACCAATAGGGGTATTCACGGGTTGGGTTGGGTCGGGTTAGGGGAGTTTTTTAGACCAACCCGAATTTTTGGGTTGGGCAGAACAAATAACCGATGGAATCGAACAAGAAGGTCAACCCAACCCAACCCAACC